TATCTATCTATCTATCTATCTATCTATCTATCTATCTATCTATCTATTTTTGAGACAGTTTCACTCTGTTGCCCAGGCTGGAGTGCAGTGGTGCCATCTCGGTTCACTGCAACCTCTCCCCATCCCGGGTTCAAGTTTTTCTCCTGCCTCAGCCTCCTGAAGAGCTGGGATTACAGGCATGTGCCACCACGCCTGGCTAATTTTTACATTTTTAGTGGAGATGGGGTTTCACCATGTTGACCAGGCTGGTCTTGAACTCCCAACCTCAGGAGATCCACCTGCCCTGGCCTCCCAAAGTGCCAGTATTACAGGCATGAGCCACTGTGCCCAGCCCGGAATCTGAATTGTAATGAGACCCTCAGGTAGCTTGTAGGCACCTTCGAGTTAAGAGTCCTCCTATTTGCTTCTCTTTGCTGCTGTCTCCCTTCTATCCCTTTCCCTGGCCCTGTTCCTCGTAGATTTACTTATTCATAAGTCTCGACATGACACTGAGCCAAAAAGCTCACCCCAGCTGACAGCCTCAGGCTGCTAGTGGTATAATATTTTGTCTTTTTGGAAAAATTGTCTCCTGAACTTGTAGCAGTGATGGGAGGCAGTACCCACAGGTGACCAAGTGAGCCCCAAGCACGCAGAACAGCATCCACTATGCTTTCTAGCCTGATCCTTCACGTGGGTCTGGCTCATGGGAATGGTGTGAACTCTTGGCAGGCCCCAAGGAGGCAAGCATGGTTATGCTCACTTTCACCCAAGGGGGCAACTGGGCCTTCAGGGCCTTCTGATTCCAAATCAGTGCCTTTCCCCTCCACCACACGGGCCTCCCCGTGCCATCATCCAGAGAGTGGAGGGCTGTGGGGCTCAGGAGGTGTGGGTTGAGAGAGGGAACAGAGGCCGCTCCGAGTGAGAAGCTGCGGTGATGCCTTGTTGGGGGGTAATGTCTTTAGGACGGATGTATTCAGAGTGCCAAAGCTTTTAGGAGACTTCAAATAGAGACTTATTTCACTTGTTCCTTATAAGAAAAATGGCCAAAGTTGGACAACATGTTCTGCAAAGCTTGCTCTGTGGGAGCCTGAAGCCACCCACCCACAGTCCCTTCAGTGTGCTGCTTCCAGGATGTCCCCCGAGATAATGTGCCCATTCTGCGCCACCAGTCCCCTCTCCTCAGCCCTAGAACACTGGCACAATGGGTCAGAACTCTTAAAGCCAGGCTGTTCTGCCCTGTGGCCCTGGGAGTCAGGGAGCCACAGAGGTTCTGTGAATTCCACCACCAGCAAACAAGGGGCAGCGTGGAGGAGTGGGCACAATGTCTGAGGGGTGAGTGAGGGGCTGGAGTGGGGCTCCCAGGGCAGAGAGAGCAAAGGTCAGAGCACCTCCTTGGTCCTGAGAGGCTAGGGCAGAGTGGCAGTTTGGGCGCTGAGCTGCTCCAGCTGCTGCTGCTGCCCTGGCAGCTTTCACGGTGGAAACTTCCCTCTGACAGTTAATTCCAGAAGCAGGGCTCTGCTCTGAGGAAGGGACCCTCCTCCACATTCATCCCTCACCCCCACTTCCCACCCACCAGCCCAGATCACTGCAGCATCCGTGGGCTGCCCCACACCTGGCGGGCCCCACTGCCCCTGACTCCCGAAGACCCCTTCCTTATCGGAGCCTCAAGCCTGGGCCGGCTTTCCCCCAACCCCCCAAAGGTCATGCCCATTCTCTCTGCTAATCCTACAGCGGAGCCCAATCCCACACTCTCCCTAAGACCAGGTCAGTGTCCACTCATTGCCCTGCGGGCTCCTTACCTCATTGAAGTCCATTTCGGAGCCATGAGTGGTATCACACCTTCTGGTACCCCGAGCCCACACTCCTCAAAAGGCCAGGAGGCTCCATCTCCCCACTCCTCCGGGGCTCAGAGCACGCGGCGCCCGCCACCCTCTCTCCAGAGCTTACCAGCGCCTCTGGGAGTCCTCCCACGTGACCCTGCAGGAGCTGCTGGACCAAGAGCAGCCTCTGCTCGAACCTGTGCCCGACCGGGAGCGGCAGTCCTTCCAGTACAGGCTCGCGTCGCTCTACCTGCACTACCTGGGGCTGCTGCGCCGCTTCAACACCGTCTATGACCAGATGGTGCAGCCGCAGAAGCGGCGGCTGCTGCGGCGCCTGCTGGACGGCGTGGCGGGCCGCGTGCTGGAGCTCAAGGACGAGCTGGTGCGCGCCGACCTCTGTGAAAACCCCTGCCTGGACCGCGTGCTGCAGGATCTCAAGCTCACCCCGGTACGCGTGCGCAGCCGCGAAGCCACGCCCCCAGCCAGCTAGCAGTAGGGGAGAGGCGGGGTGGGACCCGCCTTGACCACCTGGGACACAGAGCCATGCCCAGGCCAGCTTGGAGTCGGGTGGGGTAGGGATAGGGCCGACCACCCCCTGCCTACCCGTCACCCCACGGATATCCCTGGTGTTGGGACACCTGCTAGGGAAGGAAGGAGGGCAGAGAAGATCAGAGGATGGAGTTTGGCCTTGTGGGAAGGGCTTCAGGAAGCTTGGCGGTGGGGGTTGTGCATGGAGGTACTTAGGGGTTGGATGGAGTCAGGATGAGGTCCCCTGCATGACTGGGAAGACCCACAAACCGCAGGGAATTGGTGAGGAGAGTCCTCTAGAGCCTCCTCAAAGTGTGGTCCCTGGACCAGCTGCCTTGACATCACAAATGAGAAACTCTGTATCCTTAACCCGCTAAATCTGCACCTGCATTTTATCAAGACCCTCCAGTGATCTGTGTGCACGGGCAAGTTCTAGAAGGCTGTTCTAGAACACAGAGCTTCTGCAGGGCCTTCAGTCAGGCTCAGGGTTCAGTAACTGCTTCATATCCAAGACTATCTCAAAGTTTCCCCAACCAGCTGCAGCAGTGCGCTTGGTGGGGCGGGCGGCCATGGGGAAGATTCCCCAGGCCCTGCCATTCTGATGTCGTAGTCTGGGGAGGACCTAGGAATCTGCATTTAAGAGCTTCCCAGTTGATTCTGATGCACAACCAGGTTTGAGACCACGGCCACCTACCACTATCCTCCAGAATTCAACTCCAGTCAGAGGATGGGGGCAGAAGAAGACAGGAATGACTTTTGGGGGCATCTGCCCCATTTAAGTTTCCCACCTCAGGACTCTAAAATGGAGGAAAACAGTGCTGGGGGTGTGTAAGCCCCTGAAAATGGTAATGGATTGGCCAGATGGCTCAGACTTTTGATTCCTGACCCTCCTCCCCCAACATTGCTCCAAAGGCTGACCTGGAGGTTCCAATCCCCAAATACTTCCTGATGGAGCAGTCTACCGCTGTGCGGGAGCGACGGCTGATACTGGCTGAGATCCTGTCCAGACTGGAGCCAGAGTCCTCCCAGAAGGTAAACAGGGTGACACCTTCCCGGACTCTTCCATACCCCTTCTCCTGAAAGCCTCCAGAATGCAGAGAGGCCCTTCCCTGCCCTCTACGAGAGTGCCCTTTAGGTAATCCCTGGCCTCCTTCAAGGCTATTCCTGTGCTCATGGTAACCCTCCAATGCCAAGACAAGACTTGGGCTCCCAGATACTCTGGGAGGATGGTGCCCTGGTGTATCCTTTGATGGCCAGTCTCCCAGCAGTCCACCCTGGATGTAAACTCTCCTTCATGTGCTCCTGCTCTTTTGCCCCTGCTCTGGCCAGAGCTTTATAGGAATGCACCGGACTGAGGCCATAATTCTAGTGCAAAAGGCAGAGCGGGCCAGGCAAGGCCGGCTTCGAGCCACCTTCATGCAAGAGATTCGAAGAGATGAGGAGCAGGATCGGAGGATTCGGGAGGACGGATGGCACAAGTTCAGTCAGTGCCAAGCAGCTATCAGCATACAGAAGGTAACCCTAGGTGCCCAGGAGGAGGGCCAGGGTAGAGTTACCTCATTCAGGAAGCCTGCTGGGCTCAGAAATTGATCACAGGAGTACAGGCGCTTGGATTCTGTAGCCCCACAACTATTTATTTATTTATTTATTTATTTTTGAGATGGAGTCTCGCTCTGTTGCCCAGGCTGGAATGCAGTGGCATGATCTCAGCTCACTGCAACCTCTGTCTCCTGGGTTCAAGCGATTCTTCTGCTTCGGCCTCCTGAGTAGCCAGGACTATAGTCCTCCGACAATATACCCAGCTAATTTTTGTATTTTTAGTAGAGATGGGTTTTACCATGTTGGCCAGGCCACTCTCGAACTCCTGACTTCAAGTGATCTACCCACCTCAGCCTCCCAAAGTGCTGGGATTACAGGCATGAGCCACCATGCCCAGTCCCCACAACTAGATTCTAAACCAGTGAGTACTTTAATCAGTCAGCAAGCATATATCTTACTTGTTTATTATTTAATCTACATCTCTATTTTCAAAAGGGTTTGCAGTAGGATACCTTAAACGTCCCAGAAACAGAAGGATCATTAAAATTAGAGAAGAAAAATCCATAATGGAGTAGCAGAACAGAATAGATGATCACTCCAGAAACTCTCACGACTGTTGAAAATGAGCCACTAAAATGTATCCTGCTGAGGCTGGAGTATTGCTTGAGCCCTGAGCAATGTAGCAAGACCCCATCTCTTAAAACAAGAAAGGATCCTGAGCCTCCTGGAAACTAAGACAGAGGGAAACTTGATCATGATGAATTAATTTGATAACTGATGTGATCTGAGCATCCCCAAACTCTGTGCCTTCCGGGTCCCTTTTAATATGGAAATAACATAATTTCCATAATTTTATCTCCTGTCCCACCTCACTGCAGAAAGCCCTTCTCTGCCTTAAGGTTCCCTGAGCATTCTTACCATCGTGGTTGTCACACCTCTCCTTTGCTCTGGACAGCCACTCTGCACCTCTCTGGGTCAGCCTCTGCTGTCTGCCTTGGTGTGTGAACATGGCCTCTCCCACCATTCCTTAAAATGCTGCTAACACACGCCGACTCCTGGTGGTAGTGGTTAACAGCTTGACCAGAGACTGGAGGAGCCCCAGCAAAATTTCAGTGCAGGAACAGACCACTTTCTGTTCATGCAGGTGTCGCTGCCTCTAAGGCCACCGGCCCTGCTCTGTCACAGAAGCCTCTTGCCACCTTTTCTTTCCAGGAAGTGTTGACCTGGGGTGGGCCTCTTTCTCTCTCAAATCAATCTCCCCCTCCTTCCTCTCTCTCTCAAATCCCAATACCTCAAAAACCTCTGCCTCCTAGCCCACTAGAGAAAACTTAGAACTTCCCACCGAAAGACGAAAGCAGGCAACCATCTAGCAAACAATAGTGATTCTATGAAGATATATCATCTGCAAATGGGATAGATTCGTGTGTTAGCAATCAGTACACTGCACAGGTCAGTCTGAGGCAGGATGACTGTGTCAATGTCTCACTGAGAAGGAGGTTCTCGACAGCAGGGCTCACTAAAACAAAGAAGTCAAGAAGGGGGATAGACCCCAAAGATGGAGTCCTACTTCCCCTGTAGACCAAAGCAGGTCATTTTGTGCCTGTTGCCAGACATCAAGAGTACAGAAATATTGCATGCTGGTCTTAGAGTCATCCAGAGCACTGAGAAAAGCAAAAAACGTATGAAGGACCCAGTCATGGCGGGCCTGGCCTGTGGTGGTCACAGGAGTGGGAGGACGAAGCCCAGATGAGAAGTGCAGGAAGCAGCCCCAGCTTCTGGAGGGGCCGGGAGGCAGATGGAAAGCACTGGCTGGCCCAGGCCCTGGCTCTGCCCTCCTCTGCCCAGCGTCCCCACCCTCTGGTCCCACTAGCACTCAGTGATCCTGGAGTCTGAAAGTGGCTGGGCCTGGGAGAAAGAGCACGGGTCCAGCTCTGCACAGATGGCGTCTTGGGCCTGAGAGAGGTCATGTCCAGTCTCTGGCCTCAGTTCCCTTGGGTCAAAAATGTAGGATTAACTGAGGAGCTCCACAATCCCTACAGCGCCAATGTCTATGTGCCTGGGTGGAGTCAGATATTTGTTCCAGCTGCTCTGGGGATTCTGAGGAGTGGGTGTAGGGAATGTGGAGGGTGCTTGAGCTCTGATCTGTCCCTCAAAAGAGATAGCAGATTAGGGTGGCGAGGGAAAGGAAGAAATCCCTGGGGGGCCCTGGGGCCAGTTGGCTTGAGTGCCCACCTGAAACCACCCTGTTCTAGGCTGTTCCTGCTCAGTGTGCACCTGAGCAGACTTCCCCAGGGCTCCTCCCCGCCCCACCCGAAATCTCTAGTGTGACCCTCTTGGACCCTCTCTGAGAGACAGGCTGCTGCAGGGTGGACAGTGTGTGTCCCGTGTGTCTCCTACATCCCTCCACCAGGTATGGAAAGGCTACCTGCAGAGGAAACGCACTCAGCAGGACCGGCAGACAGAGATGGAGTTCATTGGCATGGTGAGCTCAACCTGCCCACCATGGTGGGGCCTGGAACACAGGGCTGGCCAGGGCAGGGCCCCCACCCAGAGCACAGTCTTCTTCCAGCCCCACTTTGCCCACGGTGCTCTCCACTCAGGCCGGGTGGAGAGCCTGGAAGAGAAAGAGGCAGAAGGACAGGAAAGCCCCCAGGCCATATCCCTTCATACCCTTCTTCCTGCAGAGATCTGGCCCCTGGCAGCAGCTCACCTGTGAGGCCAGGAGGGGTATTGTGTACAGCATCCTGGACCCCACGTTCCCACCCCCAGCTGGAAAGAGGGGCTACAGGGGTGGGCCCCCAGAGGGAAGAGGCCACAAAGCCAGCAGGGGCACCCACACCGCCCCCCCAAGCCTCTGGTAGCCACAGGGAAACACCAGGGACTGTGTTGGGGTAGGGACACACTCCCCAAACCAGGCCTTTCTAGGCCGTGTGCCTGTGTGCATACATGTGTGCCTGGCCAAAGTGAGTAGGCCTGGCTCCTTGAATCTGTCTATCCCCTGTTCTGTGTCCTCTCACCCAGCTGATCTCCACTGACTTAGGAAAGGCAGGCCGAGACTGGAGGGGTGGCAGGAGCATGCTCCCTGAGGGAAGGGCTTTGCCCTGGGCAGATCCTGTGGAGGCCTGGCTGCCAGAAGGAGCTGGGGAGGGGGCTGGGCTGGGGATTGGAGGGACGGGAGGGAAGGGAGCCTTCCCAGGTCTGGTGACATCTTGGCAGGCTGGGAGGCTACCACTGGAGGCTTGGGGCCTTGGGAGGAAGGAGGGGCCAGGGGCTGCTGTGTGGGAGTGGAGGTCAGAGACTTGTTGAGGGGCCAGAGGGCTGGACCCCCAGGAGATGAGAGCAGGCTGAAAGAGGCAGGGGTTGGCTTCAGCAGGGAGGGGTCCGTGCACAGCAGTGGGTGAGGAATGAGCCTGGCCGCCCGGGCCTATCAACAGTGTGAGCTCAGCGTTTTCAGTAATTGTCTCTGCGCAGAGTGATATTTAAAATACATTTGGGAGCCAATGAGGCGGGAAAGTGGCTGCAAAAGCGGCTGCCAACTCGGCCGCGGGCGGGGGTGCAGGCGGGGGCTGGGGCCGGAGGCTCCAGGGGAGGGTGTGCTGGGGAAATCGGGCAGGGGCCAGCCCGGATGCATCTAGCAAACTCATTATTAGAGTAATTTACACAGACGAATTCGGCTCCAAATACAGTTTCTTCCAATGCAGGCATGCCCGTTGTTCCATGTGGGTGTGTGCGCGAGGCCTTGCGTGAGCGTCGTGTTGGGGAAGGAGCGGGTACAGGCGTGTGTGCCTGAGGCTGGGGGCTGCGTCCAGACTGGATGCTGGTTCCTCCCACTCCTGAGCCCCTCAACCTCTCTTCCACTCCCCAGCTCCCCTCACCCAACCAGGCAGAGCACCTGAGCATCATCTCCCAGGCCTGCCTCTGGGAGGATGTCCGGAGGCTCCACCAGGTAGAGAAGGAGGAGGAATTCCGGGCGGCAATGGTGAAGGCCCATGATTCTCTGGCAGAGACAGAGGGGCCTGACATGAAGGAGAAGATGAAGGAGCAAATCCGACAGTGGTTTATCGAGTGCCAGTCAGTGTCCTCAGCTGACCCTACCCTCATCCTTCATTCCCTTCACTCAGGGTCCCTCAGGGCTGCTCCTGCTCCATTCCCTACATGGGTTCTGCCTTCTAGTCCAGATTGGCCCTTTTCTCCTCTACCCCCAGGTCCCCAACACACTGCTGACCCTGTTAGTTTCAACAACCTTGGGCCCCCAGCGTACAGGACCATCTCCACACCTGACTTCCGATTTCCACAAGGGAGAGAAAGTGCCAGAATAGGGTGGGGAAAGCACCCATGGATGCCCCCTGAGTGATCTGTCCTCTTGTTTGTAACAATCCATTCTTCCCCTGTCTCCCTCTATCCCCCCTGGTCCTTTACTTTTCTCTGCCATTCTCCATCCATCCACCCACCCTTTTATCCACCTCTCCATCTACCTATCCATCCATCTGTCATCCATCCATCCACTCACCCTTCTATTCAGCTTACTCTCTATCTATCTATCTATCTATCTATCTATCTATCTATCTATCTATCTATCTATCCATCCATCCATCCATCAACCCACCCACCCTTCTACCCACCTCCCCATCTCCCCATCCATCCATCCACCCATCTACCCATCTACCCATTTCTCTATCTATCCTTCCATATGTTGATCTGCTCATCCATTCACCCACCCTTCTACCCACCTCTCCATCTATCTACCCAAGCATCTGCCCATCTACCCACCCACCCTTCTACCCACCTCTCCATCTATCTATCCATCTGTCCATCCGCCCACCCACCTACCCACCTCTCCATCTCCCCATCCATCCATCTATCCATCCATCCATCCATCTATCCATCCATCCATCCATCTATCCATCCATCCACACATCTACCCACCCTTCTACCCACCTCTCTGTCTATCCTTCCATCTGACCATCCACCCACCCTTCTACCCATCTCTCCATCTATCCACCCATGCATCTGTCCATCTACCCGCCCACCCTTCTACCCACCTCTCCATCTGTCCATCCATCTGTCCATCCACCCACCCTTCTACCCACCTCTCTGTCTACCTATCCATCCATCCATCCATCCATCCATCCATCCATCCATCCATCCATTCATCTATTCATCTTTCTGTTCAATCATCTTATGTTCACTTAGCGATCTTACTGGCCAATTCCCTGATTATCCAGATGCGTCTTCAGGTGGATCCTACTCAATCTTTGCAGACAAAACTCCAGAACAGGTACCGTGTTGGAGGTGAGGTAGATGGTTTTTTGTGGCAGGTGGAGTCTGAGGCTACAGAGAGTAGTGAGTGGGGTGGAGTAGGGGGTCAGCCTCAATGGAGGCAGAGGTGGCTGGGGGAAATGCAGGCAGCTAGAAAGACGGCATGGGGAAGAGGAGCAAGGAGCAGCTGCGGCTGGAGCAGGCACTGTGACTGGGAAAGGAAGGATGTCTGGGTAGACTGCAGTGGCTCCAGATCCCATGGCCAGGAGAGAACAGTGGCTCTGACCAGAACGCTCCTTCTTGGGCACTCTTTCTCCCTGGACCCCAGTGGAGTCTCTGCATGCTCAGCTGTCCTGACCCCATCAGTTACTCTAGGCTAGGGAATCCTTGGTTCACCCCAGTCGCAGGCCCTGGGCCTGAGAGATCTCCAGCTCTCTTCTGTAAAATCCAGGACTCTCTTTTGTAAAATCCCCTTGATCTTCTCTGAAATGTCTTGTGTCATTGGTCACAGGTGAGAATGGAACTGGAAATGCAGGTCCAAGAGAACAAAAAAAAGGAACAAGAGAAGAGAAAGGAAAAAGGAAAGGATGAAAAAAAGAAGAAGAAGAAGAAAGGAAAGGAAGAAAAGTCCAAGAAGGGGGTAAGATACCTCCCGAATCCATGGCATGAGGGACAGGGAGGAGCAAGGTGTGGGGGAACTCGTGGTAGGAAGATGGGTTCAGGTAAGGTTAGGGCCAGAGTCTGTGCTAGGTAGAGGTGATGAAGTCAAGGTCAAAGGATGTTTATATTCTAGGAAGTGGATGCGGTGCTGCAAGTGTTGCCATCCAAATGTATCCCTATGATCAGTGCCGGGCATGAGGAATACTTAAGTAAGAGGGGAGACGGCTGGGGAAGAGTATCTGTGCTTTGTGGGACCTGGGGCCCTGGGTCCTGGAGAAAGTGGGCATCTGCCACATGGACCATGAAGTGGCAGTGTGGGTGTGTAGGCAAAGGGGACAATACCAAATGAGGAGAGGGAGGTATGGTGTGATTCTTTGGGTGGGGGCGTTACAGGTTTGGGTCTGAATCCTGTGGCCACAGGCCTTGGGGTCAAGTCTATCTGCCATCTGGGTAGAAACAATGCCAGGCTGGTGGGTGGGGACAGGGTAACCAGCCAGGGCCTGGCTCCTGACCTGTGTGCACACATCTGTCTGTGTATGCACGTATGTGTGCATGTGCTTGTGCACATGTGCATGCATGTGTGTATACACCCGGGACTCTGACCTTCACACATCCATCCACTCTCTGGTCAGATACATGGAAGAACCGGTGTGAGAGCATACACCCCAGTCAGAATTATGACTCCGAGACCCTCCGGGAGGAGAAGAGGAAAGAGGTGGAGCTGGAGATCCGGATACAGGTGTGAGCGCGGGGTCAGGGCTTCCCTGCAGGCCACTACCCTGCACCCTCCCCCATGACCCACACTTCCATCCAGATTCAGATTCCTCCCCAACCATTTCTCTGTATCTCTCTTGTCCTGAACACCCAGCCCCAGTCCCAGCTCATCCTCTGTAGACTTTGCTGCCTCCATGCATGGTCCTAGCTCCACCTGCTGCCCACGACAGTTCCCACCTTCCTCTGCCTCCCCCTGGTCTCGCCTTCTCCCAGAGCTGATGCAGCAGGGATGTGGAGGGTATGGGAGGGACTCGGAGCCAGGGTGTCCACACCCCACCACCATCCTCAGGAACCCTCTGACCACGTGTCCCACCCATGCCGTGGGCTTCAGAAGTGTTCAATCATGTGGTCTTTCATGAAACCCATGAGGAAAATACCATGGTTTTCCTGATGGTACACATGGGAAACTGAGGCTAAGCAGTTATGCAACCATTTAGGTCACAGAGACCTCAGTGGGGGGATGTTGGGCTTGAATTCCATCTGGGGGCTTCTCCGCACGTTGAAGGCTGTTAAGAGCGGGGCTCCTGGGAGAACAGGAAGAGGATTAGGACTGGGTGTGAACAGGTGCTGGGAGGGAGGGAGGAACGCAGACAAATGTGTGGGAAGGGCTGTCCCTGCTGCCTTCATCAGGCTCACTGGGTTCTTCTGTAAGGCTCCTCCCCTCCTTCCCATCCCTGCCTGCCTGCTCCTCTCCCACCTGTCCTCCCAGTCCCAGGCCACCCGGCCATACCTCAGCTGTCTCCCCTAGGTGGATGAGCTGATGCGTCAGGAGCTGAGGAACCTCCGTCTGGTTGTGGACAAGGAGGAAGAAAGACCCTTGAGGGCTCCAAAGGCAAGATGACGGGCTGGGTCTGGGCAGGGGAGGGCACACAGTGGAGGCAAGGAACAGGGCACAGTGACCTATGCACTTGTTTCCAACCAGAAAACACCTGGGAAGAAAACTGGGAAAAAGAAGGAAAAAGATCTAACCCCAAACAGGTAGCACAGCCTGTCGTGCCCACTTTGCATGGTGGTGGTGGTAGAGCAAGTCCCAGTCCAGGACAGGTCCTGCCTCTGCTGCTGTGAGACCTTGGGAAAGTCGCTTTCCCTCTCTGACTCCCTGACCTTGTTCACCAAGTACCTGCCCTGCCAAACTCACATGATAACTGTGGGGATCAAGCAAAGGCACAAGAAAGGGCTCTGTACATGAAATGCAGAGCGAGATCTCAGTGGAGTTTATAATCAGGTCATTGCTCTCCACTTCCAGATCCTCCCTCCAACCTTTGCCTTAACCGCCTCTGTCTCTGCCAAAGCCATTTCCCTCTGGACTTCCCACTCTGGGGCATTAAGGGACTCGTCAGTGGTCCCTTCCTGTTGACTTATCTGGTAAAGAGAGCACACAAGCACCTTGACGTCAGCTGCTTGAATTTAATGGCTGTCTCTCCCAGGAGCACTCATGTCTTAAATGTAGTTTCTAAGAAGAGGGCAATGCTTAATTCAAATGACTGGATTTCTAATGGTGGATCTTTGGCCAGGGGGCAGACTGATGAGTGTCACAGAGGCCCCTGTCCCCCTCACACCGCTCTTACAGAGCACCCACTGGCGGAGGCTTGCCTCCTAGGATGGTGATTTGGTGCCATACCTGATTCTGTAGATATTTATGAGCACAGAATGCTGGGCAGGAGAACCACTGATCCCCTGTCTTCATGACAACAGCCCCCCATCTCTGCCTCCATTTCCCTGTGTTCTCACTTGCTAACATCCCTTGTGGTGGTGGGGGTCTTCCTGTGCCATCCTCTGCCAGGTCTGTGGAGTCTCTGTATGAAGAGCTAGTTATTTCTGGACTTCTAAGGAAGAGTGAATCAGTAGCATTGAAAGACTACGTAGGTGAGACCCCTCCCAGAATGCCTGCTCCCAGTCTTTGGCCAGGTGCCAAGGCTCCCCTATCCCCCACCCACTGGCCCCGCCTTGCCTGTGGCTGGTTGCCTGATTGCCACTCGGAGAGGGTGCCTCTCACTCAGTGGCTGCCTATCGCCACAGGTGACTTCCTCTATCTTGGATCTGCTCTGAGTTTGGCAAAGAAGTTGCCCATGCCATCCCTGTTTGACATACGACAGAATGTGGCTTTGTATGCGGTCCTTCGGCTTGGTGAGAGGCCCTGGGGGTGTGAGGAGCCAGCTCTGGGCAGGCAACCCTCGGGGTGAGGGCTGGGGTCAGGGTAGGGTGGCTGAGGCGGGCATGTCCAGCCTGAGCCTCCAAGCCCCAGGGCCCTGCCCAGGCCCTGCTGGAGGTCACACCCAGATTGGGCCACCCCAGAAATCAGGTGGACCCTTGACCTGCTGAACAGCCCACATTGCCAGCCCCTTACTCAATCCCAAGGGACAACCCAGCGTCTGTCCCGCTGCCAGAAGACCACCAGCCCTACGCCCCCGGAGCTGAAGAGCTTTCTGAAGTGGTTTATTCTATGCCTTCCTTTTTTTTTTTTTTTTGAGATAGAGTCTCACTCTGTTGCCCAGGCTGGAGTGCAGTGGCGCGATCTCAGCTCATGGCAACCTCCGCCTCCCGTGTCCCATACCTTTCCATTCCACCACTCACAATCCAGGAGTGGAAGCAGATGAAGGGAAAACAGAAAGGGCATTAGTCAGGGTAGCAGGCTCCCTCCCAGTCCCATGTACAGCTCCTCATACTGGAGACTCCTAAGCCATTCAAACTCTCCTGCTGCCACTCCCGGCTCCCAGGCCTAGGGGACCAGGCGACCTGGTGGTATTGGGGAAGGTAGTATGCCCCGTGATCTGCACCTCCTCTCCCAGCCCCAGGCCCTTGGCCTGACCTTACTCAGAGTCATCTCCAGCCCTGACTCCTGCTGCTGACCTGACACTTGGCTCTGGCCCATTTCCTTGCTCTCAGGCTCCCCGGATATCCATGCGATGGCCCCGCTCATCCGCTCCATCCTCCTGGTGGGCCCCTCTGGCATGGGGAAGAAGATGCTGGTCAAGGCAGTGTGCACAGAAACTGGCGCCAACCTGTTCGACCTGTCACCGGGCAACCTGCTGGGCAAATATCCTGGCAGGAATGGGGCACAGATGATGGTGCATATAGTCTTTAAGGTCCGGAGCCCTCAGCTTTTGGCATTTGTGGTTCTCAGACCTGTGGCAACAAAGGAGGGTGGGCTTTGAGATCGTGTCACCCATCAGCCTACTGGGTATGATTTCAGGTGCTGAACTGGTGAGGTCTCCCTACCAACCCAGGCTAGGAGCTTGGGTTCCCCCTGCAGCCCCTGTGGTGGGAGAATGAAGGGAAAGGGGAGGATATAGAGCAACGTCTTTTCATGGTGGGATGAGGCTGAATATGCAGCCCCCCAAGGGGGGCAGTGACTCAGTTTACCCTGAGGTGTGAGGTATGTGTAGCAGCAGGCTGGGAGGTGGGACTGGCAGGTGTGGGGAGTGGAGACTGGGCTCCAAGGTCAGCCCCTGCTCAATGCCAGCCTTCATCCTGGCTTCTGACCAGCAGGGACATGACCCTTCTCCAGAGACATCTAATGTCTGATTTCTACTCTTCAACCCATCCAGGTAGCCCGACTCCTACAGCCCTCTGTGATTTGGATTGGAAATGCTGAGAAGAATTTCTATAAGAGGATCCCCAAAGAAGACAGGGAGGTGAGGGAGCGTGGACGTGAAGGTCATGTGGGCAGGTGGCGTGAGCTGGGGCTGGGCTGGAAGGCCTAGGCTTGTTCAAGTCACTCCAAACCCCACCCACTGGGGCCTTGCACATGCCCCTCTACTCCTCACACCTAGTTTCCTTGTCTCAAAGCAGGATGGGCAGCTTCCTCATCCTGCTAGGGCTGAGGTGAGGCTGAGGGTGGGGTGGGCTCTGAGAACTTGGGAGCCCCGTACACTGGGCCACCATGCCCCAGCCCCACCACTCCTCCCTGTTCCCCTGGAGCAGATGGACCCAAAGCGGATAAAGAAGGACCTCACCAAGGCCTTGCGGCTGCTGACTCCTGGAGACCGTGTGATGCTGATTGGGACAACCTCCCAGCCGCAGCTGGCTGATCTTCGGGGGCTGTGCCGGGTCTACGAGCGGATCCTCTTCATGCCCCGGCCTGACTACGCGTCCCGCTATGGTGAGGCCTGGGGACACGGGGTTGGCTGCCCCTACCAAAGCCTGCCCACCTCCTGCCCCATACCCCACTGCTGCTGCGAGCCCTCACCCCCACAGCCAGATCTTCTGGAAGGGCTGCTGGACAAGCAGCCCAGTAGCCTGGGTCCTGGCTTCAGCTCTGTGGACACAAGCAGGTGGTTTATGTCCTCCGAGGCTCTGCTTGCTTGGGTTGAGTTGGGAGGATGACCCTTGCCTAGCTTGAGATCTGGTACCTTCCCTGGGGAAGGGGAGCTGATGGACATGGAGCTGCTCCCCGGAGCACAAAGCTCCTTCCAGATCCAGGTGGGGGCTGCTCAGGCCTTGTTGCCCCTCCCTGGTGCCCACTGCCCCTCCAAGCCCCATGTCCTCCGCATGCCTGCAGTGCTCTGGAAGCATATGATAGAGGCCCGGGGCATCCAGCCAACCCAGCACTTGGACATCAGTGCCCTAGCCAAGGTCTCCGATGGCTACACGCCAGGTCACATTCTCCAAGCCATCCAATCGGTGCTGAGTGAGCGGCGGTTCCTGCAACTGTCCAAGCGGCCCCTGGTGGCCTCTGAGTTCCTGGGACAACTGGCGAAGCTGGATCCAGTATACAGGGAGGAAGAGGAGTCCCTGAAGGTGAGGTGGCAGGGCCAGGGGCTGTGGGTAAGCAGCGCCCTTGGGGAGTCAGCCCCCTGAAGCACACCTCGGACCCCTCCCTCTGCTCCCACAAATTACCAGAAGACAATCGGTGGAAACATGTTGTGGAGCTCAGCTGGGAAGGGAGCAGGAAATTACCAGGAAATGCATTCGGGACCATCCCACTTGGTTTCCCTGAGGGTGGGAACTTGCAAGGACCGCTGAGGTATCAGGAGCCCTTTGTGAGTTCTGGTAACAGCTGCCACCCACCTTTCCCACCCCAGAGTCAGTGCACCTGCCAAGGATGGCCTTGGGAGCACAGGAGAGAGGGCTGCAGGTGTGGAGGGAAGAGGGCTTGCCCCCTAAGAATGGCTGACATAATACCGGAAGGATTTGGTGGGGAGCAAGGGAAACCCCAGCCCTAAAAGGACCCCCGAACCCAGGGGAAGAGGAGAAGAGGCTGCTGAGGAAACAATCTGTAAAAAGGGGAGGGGTGAGGTCAGGATGGGTCCCAGGGCCTTACCACTCCTGTGCCCACCAACCCAGGACTGGTACTTCAAGACCCCACTGGGCAAGAAGAGCATGAAACACAGGATGGACCAGTTGGAGGCTGAGGAGGCCAAGCTGGCCAAGGAGAAGAAGAAAAGAAAGTGATGGCTAAGGCTTGTGGGTACCTGAGATTAGTGGCGTGGGACAGGGCAGTGGCCCAAGGGTAAAGGGATGGGGCAGAGGCATAAACGCCCAGATGACTTGGGGACAAACTCTTCTTGTCCATCCATGTCCGTGTCTTCCCACCCCGCCCTCTGTGTCCCCACCTGTGCCTGGCCCTGTCTAGCCCCCACCTCTCTCCTGGGCCCTGGCCCTTGCCAGCTCACTGCCGCCTCCCTGCTGTGGCTCCCAGATCCCTGTCCCCAGCCCCCACTTCCAGGTCTTCATCTCCTTGTCATTGTCCTATCCTGGCTCCCTGACTCTCTTCCTCCTTGAGGCATTTAAGGGAGAAAAAATAGGAAGAGGAGAAAGGGAAAGAGGAGAGAGGGGAGAAGGAAGGTCTGCAGTCAGAAAAAGCACAGGTCTGGAAGTTAACTGTCCCTGGTTCTAAACCCACTTGGCGCTAACTGCCTGTGTGACCTGGAGAGTGCTTTCCTGTCTCTGGGCCTCAGTTTCCTTACTTATAAAGCAAAGAGAGATTGGACCAGGAATTTCTAAGGTCCCTTTTACCCTAGAGTTTGACTGTTCTAGCAAAAGTGGCTGGGAAGTCAGGGCAGGGAGGGTGCTTGGGCAGTAGTGGGGGCAGGATGGGAAGCAGGGCTCAGTAAGGCTGTGGGGAGGTGGTGGGGCTTTGTGACCAGGGCAAGGGCTGCTGGTAGACCCAGTGCTGCAGTGGACATGGGAGGGCAGCATTGGATCAACCCAATTTCTCTGAGTATTCTTCATCTCTTTCCTAAAGACCCCTCCCCTGGCACTCTGCCTGCCCCAGCTCTGCACTGCATCATCTGACCACAGCCTAGGGCTCAATGGGATAGGGCCTCCTGCTCCTAGGGTGGGAGTCCATCTGTGGGTTTCCCCTTGCTGGGGAGGGAACAGCTCAGGGGAGGACGGGGTCAGAGAACTTAGGGAGCAGGGGCAACAATACCACCAAGGGTTGGGGAGCCCTGGAGTATTCTCTTGGAAGAGGCAGACCCGTGGACCATGTACACAGTGTGTGGATGAAGGCCAAGGTGTATCCACAGGTAGTAAGAGAAAACAGGAGAGCTGAAACTATAAAACCCCTAGAAGAAAACATAGGGGAAATCTCCATGATGTTGGTCTGGGCAGAGATTTCTTGGATATGAACCCAAAAGCACAGACAATGAAAGCAAAAATAGACAAATGGGATTGTACCAAACTAAAAGGTCCCTGCACAGCAAAGGAAATGACAGAGTGAAGAGACAATCCACAGACTGGGAAAAAATATGTGCAAATCAAACATTGGATAAGGGGCGAATATCCAAAATGCACAAGGAACTCAAACTACTAAATAACAACAACAACAAAAAAAACCCTATTAAAAAATGAACAAAGGACTTGAACAGACATTTCTCAAAAGAAGACACACGAATGGCCAACAGATATCTGAAAATATGTTCAACAGCACTAATCATCAGAGAAATGTGAATCAAAAACACAATGAGATATTATCTCATACCTGTTAGATGGGCTATTATAGCAAACTGAAAGATAAGTGTTGGCAAGGATATGGAGAAAAGGGGACTCTGCACTGTTGGTGGTGTTGTAAATTAGTACCATTTTGAAAAATAGAATGAAGGTTCCTCAAAAAACTAAAAATAGAATTACCTTATGATTCAGCAATCCCACTACTGGGTATATACGGAAAGGAATTGAAATCAGCATGAAGAAGAGATATCTGCACCCCCACGTCCACTGCAGCACTACTCACAATTGCCAAAACATGGAAACAACTGTTGTCCATCAATGGATGAATGGATTTTCAAATGCGATATATCTGGAGGACGTTGTGCTAAGTGAAATAAGCCAGGTGCAGAAAGACAAATACCGCATGATCTTGCTTATTGTGGAATCTAAAAAAGTCAAACTTATAGAAGAGTAGAATGGTGATTCCCAGAGGCTGGGGGCTCAGGGGAAGTGGACAGGGGAAGGGGAGACATTGGTCAGTGGATATGATGTTACAGGTAGATAGGATAAGTTCAGGTGTTCTATTGCATAGCAAGGTGACTGTAGTGAATAATGATGTATATTTCAAAATAGCTAAAAGAGGATTTTAAATGTTCTCACCACAAAGAATTGGTAAATATCATTTGATATATGTGATAATTACCCTGATATGATTACACATTATATACATGTATCAAAATATTATAGCCCCATAAATATATACAATTATTTGTCAACTAAAAATGAAACTTTAAAAAAAGCAATTGATTAAAAAAAAATTTTAAGCTAGTGTGAACTAAAGGGGCAAGACCGTGGGGCTGGAGCACCCTAAGCCCACGGTGGGCAGTGGTGGGTCAGAGCTGAACCCCAGGGCTTGGTTTCTCATCTTTCTCTCTTTTTTTCCTTTTGATCCACCCGACCCCCAAACAAAAGTCAGTGCCTGAGTAGACAGAGACATTTCTCCTTTCTCACTGTCTAGGGAAGACCCCAGGTAACCATGGCAGGGGAGAGATGCCACCCAAAGTCATCCAGGGAGATGGGGGGTTGGCATCAAGGGCAAGCATGGGGAGTTTTTGTGGCTGCCTGTGGGTTACGCTGTGTTACCAAGGCACATGTCTGTCTTTAGGAGTCCCCTGAGGAGTGCCTCACACAGCGAGGGCAATCTCTGTCACTACTGTGAACTCGTCCCTTGGTTTGGGAGTGGGAAGGTGCAGGGCTAACAGATGACATTTGGAAGGGCAGGAAATACCTGGCACCTACAGGCCTCCCCAGTGGGATCAGAACCCAGGCAGCTGGAAGCCGATTTGGTGAAACAGAGGAAAAACAAGAAAGAGCTTGAGGTCCTGGGTTCCCGTCGTGGCTCTGCGGCAAGCTCTCTGTGATCTTGGGAAATCCGCTTCCCTCTAATGCCGAGATGACAGACTGGGCAGCATGGTCTGGGTGGTCCCTTTCCACCCTGAGGTCATACAGCCCTGGGGTGAAGCTCAGAGTTGGAGGGCTCAGGCCTCACTTGTTCTCCTGCCCCTCCCTCATTCCCCCACCCTCCCTGACTGACAGCTGGGCCAATCAGGGCTATTTATGGCTTGGCCTGATGTTGTACTCCCCTGCGCCTCCCATGCTGGGCCCCACCCAGCTCGGGCCCAGCACCCACCTGCCTAGTCCACCAGCAACATCGCTGGGAGTCCTGCTGCTTTGGCTCTCCCAGAATAAGCCATGCCCTGGGGAAAGAACTCCTATCCCCACTGGGGACACCATCTGGGGTGCCTTCCCTCTGCCCCTGCCTGCCGGGTCTGGGGGCCCCACTCCCGCCCAGCCTGGGAGACCCCTCGGCCATCACCACTGCTGTGTCAAGACATGGCCCTGCAGAATGCCCTCTACACCGGGGACCTGGCAAGGTTGCAGGAGCTGTTCCCCCCGCACAGCACAGCCGACCTGCTGCTGGAGAGCCGGGCCGCAGAGCCTCGCTGGAGCAGCCACCAGAGGGGTGAGGGGCATCTGGGGGGTGCTGAGAACCTGGGGGGCTGGGCTGACTGCCTCGGCCATAGAGGACCTAAGGGCTTGAGAGACAGGAGAAGCCCCCAGTTGTTTCTCCCCAACCTCAAAGCTTGCCCAATAGCCTAAACCTTGGCCCAGGAACACAGTCATGCGGAGCCCAGAATAGCTCCTGCTGGATGCGTGGCCAGGTCAGGCTCAGAGCGTGGGACACAGGGGCCTTCTGCCTCTGTCTGTATTTCCCTGCTGCTCTCTCTCTGCCTTTGGCATATACCTCTCCTCCTCCCCACTCCCCTCTGCCCGCCCACATGCTCATGAGTTGGACTCCAGAAGAGTGCAAGGGGCAGGGAGAGCCCCTCGATGACAGACACCCCCTCTGTGCCAGGCTGGTGGAGAAGCCCAGTAGAGGGTCTGAGGAGCACCCCAAGTCTGGCCTGGGACCCATCGTCACCCGCACGGCCTCAGGACCTGCCCTTGCCTTCTGGCAGGCAGTGCTGGCTGGGGATGAGGGCTGCGTCTCCCGCATCCTCGCGGATTCCAGTACTGGCCTGGCTCCTGATTCCGTCTTTGATACCAGCGACCCAGAGCGATGGAGGGATTTCCGCTTCAACATCCGTGCTCTGAGTACGGGCCGGGGCCCTGGGGGGTCTCAGCGGGAGAGAGGGGAGGATTCAGATGGAGCTCTGGGCTCCCTCTTTCTGCCTCTGCCCACCTCACCCCATCAGCTGGAAGGTTTTTGCCTTCCCTGGGATCTGAGACCCACATCTCCCCTCCCTAGGACTGTGGTCTCTGACATACGAAGAGGAGCTGACCACCCCACTGCATGTGGCGGCCAGTCGTGGCCACACCGAAGTCCTGCGGCTGCTGCTGAGGCGGCGAGCAAGGCCAGACAGTGCCCCTGGGGGCCGCACCGCCCTGCACGAGGCCTGTGCTGCAGGCCACACTGCCTGTGTTCATGTGCTGCTGGTGGCAGGAGCCGACCCCAACATCGCTGACCAGGATGGGAAACGCCCCCTGCATCTCTGCCGGGGGCCTGGCGCCCTTGAGTGAGTGACCCCTCACCCCAACCCCCAGTTCCATTCTGAAGGGAAGCAAAGAGGCCTTCTCAGGGAGGATAAGGGAAAATGTCAGGGATGGGGGGCAGAGCAGTCCAGGCTTGGGGCATGGGTCAGGGTGCAATTACTTCCCAAGCCATCCACCCATTGACCCCATGAACTTTGGAGTGGCCTGGACTTTCGATAGTTTTCTGGTCTCCCAGGGGCAGATGGAGACTGTGGCAGGGGTGCAGTTGCATGGGTTGCATTGGGAAATTGCCTGGCTCCACTATGGGGAGGTGGCGTTGCTTAAAGTTTTAAAAGACACTCTGAGCTTATCCTATGTTCTAGGCACTGTGCTAAGTACAAGAGCAACTAAGTCCCTGAGGCCCTGCCCTCAGGGAGCTTACTGTTCAATGATCTAGACAGGGAGTAGAGGATGGTGGCCCCAGTGAGGACCTGCTTGGGTCTCTCTGGGCAGGGTCTGGTTCTCCATGACAGGTCTAGAATCTCCATATTGGTAGGGCACCCTCAGATCATGGGCTCAACGGACTCTCACTAACTAAACTCCCAGGAAACTGATGAATATACCCAAATGTGCCAATGTATCATTTATTGTAGGGAATAGTCCTTTGCAGTGACATAAATAACTGCACCCCATGTGTAAGCAACATTGGAGGATGGGATCCCAATTACAATTTTGTGAACTAACTCTGCATCCTATAGAGGCCCTCTCTCTGCCGACTGCACACCTGCGGGTCTTGTCTCTTGCATGGGAAAGGTGCCAAATTATTGACCCTGAGGTTCTCCTTTCATGGACCCTCTCCTTGTTAATCCCATCAGCCTCTAGAGGATTCCATAGACTTCCTCATACTATGGTTGAAGATGTGTTCTTTACTAGCGTGGCCCAGTGGAAACCTAATGTGAGCCACATATGCAATTTAGAATGTTCTAGCAGCCCCATCAAAAAATGACAAATGGCCAGGCACGGTGGCTCACCCCTGTAATTCTAGCATCTTGGGAGGCTGAGGCAGGTGGCTCACTTGAGGCCAGGAGTCTGAGACCAGCCTGGCCAACATGCCCAAACCCTGTCTCTACTAAAAATACAAAGATTAGCTGGGTGTGGTGGCAGGCGCCTGTAATTCTAGCTACTTGGGAGGCTGACGCAAGAGAATTGCTTAAACCTGGGAGGTGGAGGTTGCAGTAAGCGGAGATTAGATTGCACCACTGCACTCTAGCCTGGGAGAAAAAGTGAGACTTTGTCTCACACACAAAAAAAGACAAATATGTAAAATTAATTTTTAATGGTGGTAAATTTACCTTTGTAAATGGTGAAATTTACCTTGGTAATCATTTTTTATTTATTTATTTTTTTCTGGAGACGGAGTCTTGTTCTGTCACCCAGGCTGGAGTGCAGTGGCGTGATCTCGGCTCACTGCAAGCTCTGCCTTCCAGGTTCACGCCATTCTCCTGCCTCAGCCCCCCAAGTAGCTGGGACTACAGGCACCCGCCACCATGCCCGGCTAATGTTTTGTATTTTTAGTAGAGACGGAGTTTCACCGTGTTAGCCAGGATGGTCTCGATCTCCTGACCTTGTGATCTGCCCACCTCGGCCTCCCAAAGTGCTGGGATTACAGGCATGAGCCACCATGCCTGGCCCTTTGTAACCATTTTTAAGTGTACATTTCAATGGCATTAAGCCACATTCATGTTGTGGTTCAATCATTGCCACCATCCATCTCCAAACCTTCTCATCTTCCCAAACTGAAATTCTATCCCCATCAAACACTAACCACCCACCGCACCCTCTCTCCCAAACCCTGGCAATCACTATTCTACTTTCTGTCTCTGAATGTGAACACTCTGGGGACCTCACATAAGTGGAATTATCCTGTATTTGTCCTTTTGTAACTGGCTTATTCCACTTAGCATGATGTCCTCAGACTTCACTCATGTTGTCTCATGTTTCAGAATTTCCTTCCTGTCTAAGACTGAATAACACTCCGTTATATGTGGGGAGCACATTTTGTTTATTCATTAACCCACTGAGGGACACCTGGGTTGCTTCCACATTTTGGCTATTGCAAATAATGTTGCTGTGGACATGTGGGTACAAATATCTGTGAAGCAGGTTAAATTAATTATATTTTATTTAACACAACAAATCCAAAGTGTTATGTTGACATGTAATCAATATAAAATTGAGGCTGAGCACAGTGGCTCATGCCTGTAATCCCAGCACTTTGGGAGGCCGAGCTGGGTGGATCACCTGAGGTCAGAGTTCAAGACCAGCCTGGCCAACATGGTGAAACTGTCTCTACTAAAAATACAAAAATTAGCTGGACATGGTGGTGGGCACCTGTAATCCCAGCTACTCAGGAGGCTGAGGCAGGAGAATCGCTTGAACCCAGGAAGTGGAGGTTTTAGTGAGCCAAGATCGTGCCACTGCACTCCAGCCTGGGCAAAAGAGGGAAACTCCATCTCAAACAAACAAACAAACAAACAAAAATCAGCCAGGCGTGGTGGTGCACACCTGTAATCTCAGCTACTCAGGAGGCTGAGGTAGGAGGATCACTTGAGCCTGTGAGGTGGAGGTTGCAGTGAGTGGAGATCACGCCACTGTACTCCAGCCTGGGCAACAGAGAGAGACCTCATCTCAAAAGAAAAAGAAAAAGAGAGAGAGAGAGAGAGAGAGAGAGAGAGAGAGAATGAGAGAGAGATAGGGTCTTTCTCTCAGTCACCCAGTCTGGATTTGCAGTGGTGTGTTCATAGCTCACTGCAGCCTCAAACTACGGGGCTCAAACAATCCTCTCGCCTCAGCCTATAGAGTAGATGGGACTACTAGAGGCCCACACCACCATTCCCAGCTAATTTTTTGTGGAGATGGGTCTCACTTTGTTGCCCAGGATAGTCTTGAACTCCTGGGCTAAAGTGATTCTCCACTGCCCCTAGCCAGCTCTGTTTCTGAAGAAGGAGAAGAAGAAAAGGTGTGCATATAACACAGCACATCTCAGTTAGGATTAGCCACATTTCAAGAACTTGATAGCCACAGGTGGCTAGTAGCTACCACTGGATAGTGAATGATCCCACATTTTTAGTTCTGACCATGTTCCCACCAGCCTCCCTGAGATCACACGCAGGGATAATCCTTCCTTCCTTTGTGAGGAAACAAATGTATTTTAAAATTATTATGGAGACGTTTAAACGTATAGAAAGGCAGACAGGATAATGAAGTGAGCCCCCACAATCCATCACCCTCTATACCTCCCACTCCCCCCGCCATTTTGAGCTTTTACGATCGCAGGTTTTCAGGGGTTGTCTCACATGCTGCTCACAATCACCTCGGAAGATGGAGCTGTTATAATTATCCGCATTCTACACAGGAGGGAACTGGAGCTCAGAGAGGCCAAGTCCCATTAAGTGAGGCGCACACGTTGCTGTGACTCCCTGTGCTTCTTGCCATCTTGGAGTAAATCCAGTTGGCCAATTTCAGTCTTTTTTAGTTTTTATTTTTCCATTTTGAGAAGGAGTCTCACTCTGTCACGCAGGCTGGAGTGTAGTGGCATGATCTCAGCTCACTGCAGTCTCTGCCTCCTGGGTTCAAGCAATTCTCCTGTCTCAGCCACCCAAGTAGCTGGGATTACAGACACCCACCACCACACCTGGCTAATTTTTGTATCTTTAGTAGAGACAGAGTTTCACCATGTTGGCCAGGCTGGTCTGAAACTCCTGACCTCAGGTGATCCACCCACCTTGGCCTCCCAAAGTGCTGGGATTATAGGCATGAGCCACCACGCCCAGCCAATCAGTCTTGAGCCACCATGCTCAGCCAATCAGTCTTGTTCTTTGTCCCACTGCCCCATTTCCATGTGCGCCCACTGCCAGGCCCCACGCTCCCTTCCTCCTCTAGTCCCAGCATGCAGAGCCCCCCAACGGTCCTGCTGCCCCTGGACCCAAACAGCAGCCCTCCCCCTACTAGCCATATCAACTTGCATGAGATCCTCAGACCTCAGTTTCCTCCTTTGTGGCATAAGTGTCTTAAGGGAGCCTACCAAGGGAATATAGTGAGGATGAAATTAGCTACTACATGTAAAACCCTTAGCAGGCGCCTGTTCTAACCCCTCATGTGATAACTGCTGGTGACGTTTATTCTCACGGATGATTTAGTGGATTATCCCAACAAAAAGTATGTGGATGTTAAAGGACACTGTTGGCTGGGCACAGTGGCTCATGCCTATAATCCAGCACTTTGGGAGGCCAAGGCAGGTCAATCACTTAAGGTCAGGAGTTTGAGACCAGCCTGGCAAACATGGTGAAACCCCATCTCTACTAAATACACAAAAAACTAGCCGAGCATGGTGGGGGCCGCCTGTAATCCTAGCTACTCTGGAGGCTGAGGCAGGAGAATGGCATGAACCTGGGAGGCGGCAGTTGCAGTGAGCTGAGATCACGCCACTGCCCTTCTGCCTGGGCAATAGAACAAGACTCAGTCTCAAAAAAAAAAAAAAAAAAAAAAAAAAGAAGGGCACTGTTGATATTGCAGAATGGTGCTGGGATGACCAGTGACGGGCAGGATGTAGGGTGGGTGGGGGGAGACAGAACAAAGAGCCACCCAAGTATGTTCTTGCTGGGAGTCTGTGCCTGCTTTCCTCCCCACCACCGTCTCCTCCCTAATAGGTGTGCGGAGCTGCTCCTGAGGTTTGGAGCAAGAGTGGATGGTCGGTCCGAGGAGGAAGAGGAGACCCCTTTGCATGTGGCTGCCCAGCTTGGCCATGTGGAGCTGGCAGATCTGCTTCTAAGACGGGGGGCATGTCCTGATGCCCGTGATGCCGAAGGCTGGACCCCACTGCTGGCTGCCTGTGACATCCGCTGCCAGTCCACTGTCGATGCCGAGGCCACCACGGCCCGCTGCCTGCAGCTGTGCAGCTTGCTGCTTTCAGCTGGAGCAGACGCTGATGCTGCCGACCGGGACAAGCATCGACCCCTGCACCTGGCCTGTCGCCGTGGCCATGCAGCTGTCGTGGAGCTGCTCCTGTCCTGTGGCGTCAGCGCCAACGCCATGGACTATGGGGGACACACACCCCTGCACTGTGCTCTGCAGGGCCCAGCTGCAGCCCTGGCCCAGAGCCCCGAGCACGTGGTTCGGGCTCTGCTCAACCACGGTGCTGTCCGTGTCTGGCCAGGGGCCCTCCCCAAGGTATGGGGGCTGCAGGCAGCAGGAGGGCCACCATGGTGAGGGGACAGGGAGACCTAGGCCTGTGCTCCGGTTTACTTTGGAATGTGGCCTGTGCACATAGATTGGTTCCTTCTGTCTGTCTTTCATTCAGCATGTAAGCAAAGCCCAAATAGGGGTCAAGGTGAAGACACAGATCAGCGGGAAATGTGTGTGTGTGCATGTGTGTGTGCATGTGTTCACATGGTATGCATGTGTATACATGTGTTCATGCACATATATGCATGTATATACTGTGCATGTGTGATAAAGGTGGACTGGGGGCAGTGAGGCCAGATGATAAAGGATCCAAAAAGACAGAAGGAGTCAGGGTTGATGTGGGTGGTGGGCATTGTTCAAGGGTCTTCATCAGCACAACGAACTGCTGAAAATAGCATTTGAGGAAGCTCCCACTAGCAGTGGGATCAGTTCAGTGACAGACGCAGGAGAGGCTCCCCAAGGGAAGGGGGCGAGCCTGTTTCAGGAGCCTCAAGGTCCCCTGAATGTCTGCAAATGGACATGGCCCCACCTTCTGAGAATCTAGTAGGACCCACAGCCCCCAGAACAGCTGCCACGGTCCTGGCACCTGTGAACGTGCCTTTCACTGTCAATTTCAATTTATATCCTACTTTATCTGAATTTCCCCTAAGTAGGTTCAACTGGAAGACCTGTGCTACTGATGCCCTGGGAGGGGGCCTTGCCCCATGCTGTGTCGTGTCTGGAGGAGCGTAGATAATGTCACGAAGGGCACTGGGTCTGGGAATGGGGACATCCGTTCTCAAAGGAGATGGGTCAGAACTGAAACCACCCTCTAAGTAGGCAGGTCCCCTCTGGCCCAGCCCAGAGTCTTGTCCCACCCAGCCTTGCCTGTCCTGGGACCACCTGCTATCCCAGCCTCTCCCCTTTGCTCACAAACCTAGAAGCATCTGTCTGGATTCCTAAGCAAGACCAAATAATTAAACAGCCCAAGAGTTCAGCAGATTGGTCTCCCCTTTGGGAAAATACAAGAAAATCAACAATTAACACTAATTAATCTCCTATTAACACTAGATAATTAGGAGACAAGTAATTCCCTGTAATCTGACGGCAGCTCTGACAGCTAATGATTTCCCCAGCAGGCAGGGGCGGGAGGAGGGCCCGGCACAGCGAAAGGGTTTCCTGGGACCCCACAGCCCTGCTCCACCCCTCAGCCTGTCTCTGGGACCAAAGGGGCTGGCAGAGCAAAGTACCCCATTTGTCCCTTTCCATGATCTGCAGCCCTGCCAGCTGAGGGGTTTCTGTCCTCCCTGCACAGAAGCCTCCACCACCCATCTATGATGAAACGCCAGCCCCAGCCGGTTCTCTAGGAGCCACCACTTTGGACTCGGTGCTCAGGGGACCTGGATCCAGGATGACTTTGATGCTTGTTTGTGTGGCTGTAGGCAAGTCACTGCATGTGATACAGGCTCTCCCTAACAGGATGGAAAACTGTAGGAGAGCACTGGGGAAGAGTTGGAGCAAGCACAGCCTTGACTACACAGCAGGCACTGTTCTAAGCTGTATTTCCTCTTACAGGAGTTTCTCAGTCCTCCCAGCAACCTCTGAGGTCAGTGGTGACTAGGAGTGTAGGCTCTGGAGCCAGACACACTACCTGTGTGGCCTTCGGCAAGTTGCTGAATCTCCCTAGGCCTCAGTTTTGTCATCTGTAACATAGGGATATGACACTATGCCTTCTTCATAGGGTTAGTGTGAGAAGGGTTAATACACATCAAGCCTAGTGCTTAACACTCGTTAGCTAGCGTTGTTCTCGTTATGTAATGTATGAGAAAGCACTTGGTAAGCTGCTTGGCATCATCCCAATGAGGGTATCATTGGACACGGGAGTGTAAAGCAGGTCGGTGTAGCCGCACAGGCTTCCTGGAGGAGGCGGGACCGGGATGGGCAGTTTTGAAGGGAAGAAGGAGGAAGAGACAGGTATTTCAGGCACAGAGAGCTGATTGAACCCAGTGCAGAGGTGGGGATCAACATGGGCCAGGAAGGACAGAGATGGGCCTGAGGGGCAGGTGGAGAGGAGAGTCAGAGAGAACCAGCCTGCTCTTCCCTAGCTCGGAGGAGTGAGGAAAAGAGGCCTCCCGGGACAGACTGGTGAGCACCGCTCCGATGCAGGGCTAGAAGCAGAGGGCCCAGGTGTGTAACACGCTTTCTCCAGGGACTCCGGAAGACCAGGTCTGCTGCTCCCACTGCTCATCGCTACTGTCATCTGACAGACAGAAGGGTCTCTTCTCCTTGCAGACAGAGGCTGTTAAACCCCCACTGTTAGATGCAATTGTGTGTTTGGCCACGTGTAGGTTGTGTGTGAGATACTGCCTGAAAGACAGTACTTACCTGTTTTCAGATCTTAAAAGGCTCTGTGGCCATCACCTGTAGAGATGCAGCGAGAGTGGAGTGCAGTGGAGGAGGCACGAATCTGCTTTAGGTACTAAGTTCAGGCACAAGCGGGAGTCATGGTGCCCGTGTCTGTCAGGCCACTTTTCTGACCACGTGGACGGTCTGTCCACAGGCTGCTCCACTGCATGGCTTGCCCACGTGCTGCATTGGACCACCACCTCAGAGACCTTTCTTGACCACTCCATCTAGGATAGTGCCCTCTCAACCATGCTCAGTCCCCTGACCCTACCTTTTTTCTATTTTTTTTTTTTTTTTTTTGAGACAGGGTCTCACTCTGTCGCCCACACGTGCAGTGGCGCGATTCTGGCTCACTGCAACCTCTGCCTCTCAGGCTCAAGAGATTCTCCTGCCTTAGCCTCCTGAATAGCTGGGATTACAGGTGCACGCCACTACTGCCTGGCTAATTTTTGTATTTTTGGCAGAGACGGGGTTTCACCATGTTGGCCAGGCTGGTCTCAAACTGCTGACCTCAAGGGATCCATCCACCTCAGCCTCCCAAAGTGCTGGGATTACAGGCATGAGCCACCGTGCCCGGCCCCTTCTTGTTTTTCATTGCAGCAGCAGATCTGTGAGTGATGACTTCTGTGTTTATTATGCTTTCCTTCTGAAATAGAAGCTCTTGGATGACGAGGACTTTATTTTCCCCACTGCTGAATTTGAAGTGCTTGGCACATAGTAGGCCCTCAATAAATAGTTGCCGAATGAACCAATGAAAGCACAAATCTGGCTCCAACTAGATTCCACTCCTGCTCCTATCAAATCCTCTCCTGCTCTTGCAGGCAGTCCATCGGCCTCTGGTTGCCTTGTCCCTTCTCCCTGAATACCCCCCTCCTGGCTCTGGGGTTCCCTTGCCTCCAGAGCCCAATCCTCCCTCTGTGAGTCCCCCACCCAGCCCCACCCCACTCCCTGGCCCACTCTTGTAGCTGTCTCTACCCACACTTGGCATTGTATGGATTCTGTGATCTTTTTATCTGCTCAGGAGCTCCACCCACAGGTCAGGGACCCCTTCCAGCCAGCAGAAAACCCAGCCCAGAACCTTGTAGAGAGGAGAGCAGGATGGTGGTGTGGTTAAGGGCAAGGGGCCACGCTTCCAGGCCTGGACTGTGGGAACCACAACTTGGGCAAGTTAATTAACTTCTCTGTCCCTCAGTTTCCCTTGGCTGTAGTGAAGGAAATGGGATAATAACATAGGGATATTAACAGTCCATCCCTTGCAGGGACAACAGTGAAGAGTTCATACATGTAAAGTGCTAGAAAAATCATCTGGTCTGAGTTATGCACAATAGAAAGGTTAGCTGCTGTATTGGCTTCCTGGATCAAATGAAGTACCACAAACTGGATAGCTTAAAGCAACAGAAATGGAGTTCCCTTACAGCAGTGGAGGCTGGAAGTTTGAAATGCAGGTGTAGGCAGGGCTGGCTCCTTCTGAAGCCTCTGAGGGAGAATCTGTTCCATGGCGCTCTTGTAGCTTCCAGTGGTTTCCCACAATCCTTGGTGTCCTTTGATTTGTACACGTGTCACTCCACTGTCTGCCTTTGTCGTTTCGTGGCCTTCTCGTCTGTGTCGGTGTCCATGCCTCTGTTTTCTCTTCTTATAAGAACACCAGTCATATTGAATAGAGCCCACCGTAATGACCTCATTTTAACCTGATTACATTTGCAAAGACCCTATTTCCAATTAAGGTCCCATTCATAGGTACAGGGGGTTAGGTCTTCAATATATCTTTTAGGAAACAAAGTTCAACCCACAACAACTATTCTGGAGCTGTCTGGTCACTGTGTGGACTGACTGGGGACCCAACACGTCTTTGCCTCCCACAGGTGCTGGAGCGCTGGAGCACGTGCCCTCAGACCATCGAGGTCCTGATGAACACCTACAGTGTTGTGCAGCTTCCCGAGGAGGCTGTGGGCTTGGTGCCTTCTGAAACTCTGCAGGTCAGATTCCAAGGGCCTGAACGTAGAGCCTCTCATCCTGGCCCCAAGACTCCCACCCGCTAAACCGCAGCCCCCCATAGAAAGTATCCAAAGACGCACTCATGTCCCAGAAGAGAGAACTTACAGAGTGAACACTCAAACATTCATTGTTTCTAAGAGGTTCCTTCCAGTAGATGCCCCACCCCTCCCTCACCTGCCTATCCTGTGAGGAGGAGCCGGCACCACCTGTCTGAGGCTGCCCCTCACTGAGCCCCTTGTTCTGCCCCCAGAAACATGAGCGTTTCTACTCCTCCCTTTTCGCCTTGGTGAGGCAGCCCAGGTCGCTGCAGCATCTGAGCCGCTGTGCGCTCCGCTCCCACCTGGAGGGCAGCCTGCCCCACGCGCTGCCCCGCCTCCCCCTGCCACCGCGCCTGCTCCGCTACCTGCAGCTGGATTTTGAGGGCGTGCTCTACTAGGTGAGCCCTGGGATCTGTGAGCAGTAACAGCTGCTTGGGGTCCAGGGATGGGTGGAAGGCAAGAGAAGCATTGGGGAAGGCCTTGGCCAGAACCGGCCTGTCCCCGAACCACCAGAAGCCTCTGAATACAAACCTCTCCTTCCAGATGTCCACGGCCTTTTGAGAGGGCCTGAAAGCAGACGCCCCAGCCTGCAGAGGGCGCGCCTCTGCACTAACTCAGGCCAGGTAGCCTAGCAGCAGGAGGCCCAGCTGCGCAGGCAGGTGTGGATGCTGCAATTCCCAATGCAGAGAAGCGGACTGACACCCACAGCCAGATGATGTCTGATGAAGACACACTCCTGTTGGGGCTCTCCTGGGGCCCCCTTCTAGCCTGTGCAAACCCTGTACGTGCATTAAAAATCTTCAGGTCTGTTTCGGTACTGTCTCCAGCAGACCTTCCTCTGAACTTGCTCCCTTGCCGGGGAGTTGGGATGGGCGGACTGACAGGGGCTCCCTGCGTGCCCCATGGGGCCAGCTGCATCACCTTCCCCTTTGGCATCAGCCAGCTGCTAAGAGGTCCCAGGCTTGCCAGCTCCATGAAATGACAGAATGACCACCAGGTGACAACGCGTTAGAAAAGGCCTAAAGGAGGTGCAGGCTGCACATGGAGGCAGTGCAGAGAGTTGGGCAGGAAGGCACAGGAACCCTTAGGGTAGGAAGGTGAGGAGGCCGGAGAGCCACCTGGAAGGAGGGGCATGTAGGGTGGCCCATCGCGGAGGGTAGCCATGGCTCAGTTGAGAGCCAAAGGCCCAGGTTTAGAAAAACAGAACCAGTTCTGCCTATTGCTTGACACGGTAGGTCAGGGAGGACCAGAAGCACACCTGGTTCCTGCCTCTTTTATCTGCTCCTTCCTTAAATTTAGCTCTGGCTGCAAGAGCGCCGAGTTGAAAGTTCCATGACCCAGGTTCTGGTCTTAACTCTGCCATTAACTTGTGGAACCTAAGTCTCTTACCTCTCCGGGCTCACGTTTCTGCCTCTGTAAAAAGAGAGGGAGGAGAGTCCCTGAGAGTCACTGTAGTATCAGGATTTTCAGAACCTGCCAGAGGCCCCCGCAGCCAGGAGCTGCCTGCAACCACAGGCGGAGGGCAGGTGGTCGGGACAGGGCAGCCAGTCAAGTGCACGTGATCCCTGACGTCAAGGGTCGCTGGACAGAGTTCCCCCAGGCGGCAAAGTGCGCAGGCGCTGGAGCTCGCAACTTTCCCGCCAACTGGCACGAGCTAGGCGGCGAAGGGCGGGGCCGGGAGGGCGAGAAGAGACAGGGGGTGGGGCCTGGAGGGCGCGAGGCGGCCGGGGGCGGGGCCTGGAGGGCGCGAGGCTTTAGGCCGCGCTGACCAGGGCCGGAAGCCCGGTTAGGCGTTGAGAGGCGGCTGAGGAGAAGCGCAGACGAAGTGAGAGGGCCCGGATTCTCACCCTGGCCTCACGGACCTTGGGCTGACCGGTCAGTCTGGCTTCAGGTGCTGGGGCGCGGCTCGAGGACGCGGGTGCGGTGGGCAAGCGGTGGAGGCTCCTCGCTCTGGAAACCCCAGGTGGACCCCGACGGCACAGACCCCACCTCGCGGGCAGGAAGCGGCTGCCCCAAGGCGTGCGCGGAAACCTGGTGCGCGAGGCCCACTCCTGTTGAGGGCCTGCGGGGCGCCCTGTGGAGACCGCGGCTCGGGTCTGGGTCCCGGGGGACGTCCTAGTGCTCGCTGGTTTGTTCCGTAGCCGTTCCAGGGCTTGCTGCGTTCCGGCGCCGCTGCACCGGGGGCAAGGCCTGCCCTCCAGGCCCCACCAGGGTCCGCGTGCGCGGGGTGGCCGGAGCGCGGCGCACAGGAGGAAGCGGCAGGTGCTGCCGAGCCCGGGACTGGGGTTGGCAGTGCGAACTATTTTAGATCGGGTGACAGGGAAACTTGCTCTCTGAGGAGGTGACATTTAGTCAGAGACCTGAGTAGAGCAGGTCAGCAGGAGTGGCAGGACCGACCGCCCTGGCTGCGGGCGTGGGTCGGGGGGCGCCTGCGGCGGTCCAGGCCAGAGGCAGTCGCGGCGGGCGAGATTCGGGATCCCTGGGGAGAACTGGGGGGCCGCTGCTGGGGGGATGTGGAGGGGCTGCAGAAAGGCGCTGCCTAGGGGGACTCGCAGGTTTTTGCCTTGGACTCCTGGTCAGAAGGTGGTGCCAGATGCTAAGGTGGGGAAGACGAGAAAGGAACGGGAAGCAGAAGGCCGTTGTTGGGGAGATGGCACTGGAGCCGCCTAGGAACCATCTCAGAGGCTGTGGCCTGGGCACGGGGATCTGGGCCCAAGTCGAGCGCAGGTCTGGGCATCATGCAAGTGCGGGCTCGCTGGCGCGGGAAAGAGTTTGGAGCTCTACTCCCAGGGAATCCCGACTCCCGGGGATGACTTGCCCGAGAGAGTCCTGCTGGTGGATTTTGATGGAAATTCTATTCGATCGCATCCACTTCGTTCACTGTGTGCTTCCGGGTCCCCACGTTTTAGGTGCTTCATGCCCCGCTGGGAACGAGACACGCTCCTGCCTTCAGTGAATCTTCAGTCTAGTGTGAGAAACAAGCGTGTGAACAACCAGTTAGAATACAAAGGGCAATAGGATGAATGCAAGATAAATGTGGGAGCAGGAGCTGGAGGCGTGAAGAGGAGGGCGAGGAATGGGGCTGAGATCTGGGAGGGAGTCCCAGAAGAAGGACCCTCCTCTAAAGTGATAGGAAGATGGGGGAGGATTTCTGGCCACATCTGGAGAGCCTGCGATCATGGGACGCCTTTTCAAGGACGGGGAAGGGAAGAAAGGCGATGTGGTGTGGTGGCTCTGAAGGGGCTGTGCACAACTTCACATACTGTCCCTTAGCGGGGCAATGTCAGGAGGGTCCTCACTGGGGTTAGACATTCAGATTCTTGCAAGCCAGGGCGCCTCCTCCCCAGCCTCCTGGCTGTTGGTCCCGCGGGCCCAGAACCTCTCCCTGGTAATTGCTTTTCGTAATGTGCTTGCTCCAAACCAATTTCACGCCTCCGTGAGGACTCCGCCCTGCACTAGAGGCGCGGACCTCCCCACCACCAACCTACCCACGAGTGAATGCGCGAGCTCAGACATACGGTACACATTTAACACAACAGACATACAGGGTTCGGGTACCGGGGCACACTAAACATACTTAACCCTACACTCACGCACACTAGACGTTAAGACACTCACGTACAACCCCCCTCCCCAAACAGTGCGTTCACAGTTAAGCACCTAGAGGCGTCCCGCGCGCTGGCCCTTGGAGGCTCAGTTAGTGGTTTCTTTGCCCTCGGCGCGTCTCCTGGACTATCGCCAGGGGGCGCTGCAGCACCCCGCACCTCCTTCGCTGTGCCCGCAGTTGTGCGCTGCTGCCACCAGAGGGTACCCGCGGCCAGACCCGACGCTGCCCACCATGAGAGGACTTTCTCTGGCCAATGAGTGGATTGGAGGTATAGATTTGTGGTCTTTGACTTGAATACTTTGTTTTTTCTCAGCATCCTTGGTGCTAGTTGGCAACACAGGTCAGGCCAGATGATGAAGCCGTGGTGGACACAGGGTAGATTAAAGATAAAATTCCTCTATAGGAGCATTTCCCAAATGTCAGAGAATATGGACAAAGCAGCACTTTTAGAATTCTGTTTTGGACAATGAGACCAGGTACTTTCTCATAATGTGTCTGCTCAGGAATTCAGTGAGAAAACCATAGTTTTTTGCTGGTAAAGAAAGGAGCTAGCCCTGTTCAGATTTGACAGAGGCAAGGTCTGTACTTGGTACTGATGAGAGAGTAAGAAGTAGTTTTGGAGTGCTCTGGATTTCAGGGAAAATTAGTCCCTTCCTTTCTTGGCCACTCTACTCTTTGTCTATTTAGTGCAAAAAAAACCTCATTTTGGAAGGTGTTTTTTCATATTCAGTTGACTCTTGCCCTTGCTTTTTGACTAGACAAAGTTTTTGTTGTTGTTCTTTTTTTTTTTTTTTTGAGACGGAGTCTCACTCTGTCGCCCAGGCTGGAGTGCAGTGGCATGATCTCTGCTCACTGCAAGCTCCACCCTCTGGGTTCACGCCATTCTCCTGCCTCAGCCTCCCCAGTAGCTGGTACTACAGTTGTCTGCCACCATGCCCGGCTAATTTTTTGTATATTTAGTAGAGATGAGGTTTCACTGTGTTAGTCAGGATGGTCTGGATCTCTTGACCTTGTGATCCACCTGCCTTGGCCTCCCAAAGTGCTGGGATTACAGGCGTGAGTCACCGCGCCCGGCCCTTGTTGTTCTTATTTGTAAGACAGGGTCCTGCTCTGTCACCTAGGCTAGAGGGCAGTGGCACAATCTCTGCACACTGAAGCCTCAACCTCCCCGGCTCAAGTGATCCTCCCATCTCAGCCTCCTGAGTAGTTAGGACTACAGACATGTGCCACCATGCCTGGCCAATTTTTAAATTTTTTTATAGAGACAGGGGTCTCACTATGTTGTCCAAGCTGGCCTTGAACTCCTAGTCTCAAGTGATTCTCCCACCTGGGCCTCCCAAAGTGTCAGGATTACAGACATAAACCACTGTACCCAGCCAGAGTAGATATTAATCACTCTCCATCACAGATGGAGATGTCAAAGAGGGGTCAAGGTCACAGGGCCCAGTGAGGGGTCAGAAAAGGAATTTGACTCCAGGTCTTTCTACTTTAGCCAATGCTTCTTTCCATTTACCATGTGGCCTCAGTTCTATGTTCTATGAAAGGGCAGGGAAAGGAAATGGGTTGCTGCAGTTGCCACTATGTATGCCAATGTTACTGAATGTCAAGGACTTCACAGAAGTCACACTTCGTATCTCCAGCATGGCAAGGGAACACATAGAGGATATAAATGGGTTATGAAATACAGTATCTAACAAACAAACCACACCAGGTCAATAGAAGTACTTGAGGTCTCACTTGCCTCTGTTCAGAATTGGTGGCCCACTGGGCCCACTGGTGGCCCATTGTTGGCACTAAGTTTTAAGTATGTACTTCCTGGCCAGGCCCAGTGGCTCATGCCTATAATCCCAGCACTTTGGGAGGCTAAGGCAGGCAAATCACGAGGTCAGGAGTTCAAAACCAGTCTGGCCAACATGGTGAAACCCCGTCTCTACTAAAAATACAAAACTTAGCTGGGCATGGTGGCGGGCACCTGTAATCAGAGCTACTTGGGAGGCTGAGGCAAGAGTATCACTTGAGTCCGGAAGGCGGAGGTTGCAGTGAGCCAAGATCATGCCATTGCACTCCAGCCTGGGCAATAGAGCAAGATTCCATCTCAAAAAAAAAAAAGTATGAACTTCCTGTGCCAGCTTGAGTAGAGAATCCACTTTACTGAGTATAGTTCTAAGCAATAAGCTCTTGGCATGAACTAGGTGACGTATATCTTGAAGATCATAGGGTTATTTTATTTATTTTTTTTTGAGATGGAATTTCCCCCTTGTTGCCCAGGCTGGAGTGCAGTGGCGCGATCTCAGCTCACTGCAACCTCCACCTCCCAGGTTCAAGCGATTCTCCTGCCTCAGCCTCCCAAGTAGCTGGGATTACAGGCATGCGCCACTATGCCCAGTGGATTTTGTATTTTTAGTAGAGATGGGCTTTCACTATGTTGGCCAGGCTAATCTCGAACTCCTGACCTCAGGTGATCCACCCACCTCGGCCTCCCAAAGTGCTGGGGTTACAGGCATGAACCACCGTGCCCAGCCCAGAGGGTCTTTAAAACATTTTTTAGAGGTCTCCCTCTGTCACTCAATCTGGAGTACATGGTGCAATTATGACTCACTCTAACCTCCAACTCTTGGACTCAAGCAATCCTCCTGCCTCTGCCTCCCAAGTAGCTGGAGCTACAAGTGTGTGCCACCATGATTGGCTAATACAATAAGAGGGTCTTTTAACCTTGAGTCCTTGACATACCAGAATGTGACAGGCTTCTTAAAGTGTCCTTTTATTGAAGGGACTGGTAGAAGAGTGATGTTTCAATATATATCCTTTTGAGCTTTTGGAATTTGGTACTATGTGATTTTATTACCTATGCAATAAATGAATGCAATTACTTTTAAAAATGGCTCTTCCTTCATGCCTTACTTGGCTGATCCTGTAACTGCTCATACAGGTTTAATTTCAGTTTTGTAGCCCAAAGTTGCCTCAATAATTTGTCAAGTCAATAAGCCTCTGTTATGTATCCACCACCGATAAGCCCTCTCACTTTAAAAATACAATATACTTTTGAAGCTTGGTCTTCCATGTTGGTCTGGTAAAGTGCTTGGTTAATTTAGCAAAGGGGTGTTCCGAAGAGTATCTTTAGACAAGTCCTTTAGTAGTGAGTTGGAGTTAAGCTAAGGCACCTCTTCTTTCTCCATTGCCACATCTTACCACCAGACTTGTTTCTTAGAAATTGCACTGGTTGAATGTGGAGCCCAAGGTAGATCAAGACTCCATGGAAATGACACTCTTCTCTTTTCACCTCTCTGATGACTTGTCAGTTAAGGCATAACCAAAAAAATCCTTTCTTGAGTCCTGCCCCCTTCCTCAGTCCACCCTGGTGACAGTGTCTTTGAAGGTACTGATTTAAATACATCAGCCTGACATTAACAGTGTTCACTAGGCTAACACAACACTCCTAATTTGGAACAAATGTCACTGAGACCCAGAGTTCCCTCCTGCCCTGCTCTGTCTTGGCCGGGCAGTCCTGGAATTTGTGTAGGTTTTCATCCTCCCTGGAGCCAAATCACTTCCCCTATCTAGACTGCATCTTCCTAAACTTGCCTGGCTTTGCTGTTATTAATTTTAATATTAATTTTAACCAGCTTGGCACTACCTAGCCTTACCTGAATAACAATTTCCTTGTGACCAGATAACACTCACTGTAGCTGGCCAGCCTTGCCCTGTGTCCTGAAGCTTGGGTCACTCTTCTGTTGACTTGCCTGTCTTGTCTCTTTCTTGCCCACTAACCTGAGGTGGCTATCAAGTCAAAGTGTCTGTGACTTTTGCCTCTAGATTGACAACTCTACCGCTGGGAATTGGGAGGAGGAGGAGGACGGTAAAAGGCGCCACCATTTCTGTGTCTCAGAAGGGGGGAGGTGAGAGTCATCTGCAATTAGCGGATAATTAGCGCTACTGACCCTTGGGGCTCATCAGCGCTCCTGGGGCCAGCCCCCAGCAATCAGCCAGGGCAGGTCGTGAGTGTCAGGCCCAGGAATGAATAGGGCTCATCAGCGGCGCTGGAGCTGGGGAGCCAATCAGGGAAAATTAATAGCAGAAGAGAGGGAGAGCGAGCGAGGGAGGGAGACAAGAGATAGACAGACAGACAAGAGATACAGATAAAAGAGAGAAATGAGAAAAATCGAGTAACAGTGACTGGGATAAGGAACAAGAGATGGGAAAGAAATAATCAGAGAGGAATAGGAATAGAAACGAGGGCGGGAAAGGGAAGAGGAGTGGGAGGAAGAAAAAGAATGTAAAGGATGGGAGAAAGACGGAGGGAAAAGGTCAGAGGAATGGTAAGTACTTGGCATAGTGTGGGCACTCAAGGAAATTACCCACAGAGGCAAGAGAAAAGGACTAGGGGAAGTTGGAGATGGAGGAGGAGGAGGGAATGAGGAAGAAGGTGAAGAGCCAATGCCAAGAGAATAGAGACCAGAGGCCAGAGTGCCAATGGGGCAGACACGAGGAAAGGGGCCCCATAAGAGTAGCCCTAAGCCATAGCACCGGGCGGGCGCAGCGCGCCCCCTGTCGGCCCGGCCTCGCCTCCCTCAGCCCCGCGCTCTCGCTGGAGGGGGCGGCGGCCGTGCTGTCCCGCCAGTCGCGCCCGGGCTTGCTCTGGGGACCGCCACAACGTCCGCTCCACGGGCGGGGGAGGGGTGTCGGAGCTGGGAGGCACGCCGGGGAATGACTCGCGGCCCGACGGAGGGCCGCGGCCTGGAGCAGAGGGGCGCTGTGGTCCGGCGCCGCTGCCTGTCCCTGCTGGTGCGCCCTCTCCGCCTGCCGCCCGGTGTCCCATCCACTCTTGGCCCCGCCGCCCCGTCGGAGTCTGGGCCACCTCTAGCTTGCCCTCCGAGCCGGGCCGAGCTCGGGCCGGGTGGGCTGAGTTGGGGGTGGACTGAGTGGAGGGAAGGGGACCGGCCCAGCAGCTGCCGCCGCCTTCTCGTCGGCCGCAAACTTTCACAAAGCGGCGTGTCCGGCCTCATCAATCTCCATTAATAATAGTTGGTTGGGCCGCGGGGGGCGGGTGGGGGTCCCGGGCCGGCCGGCCAGGCCGCTGGGAACGGGTTCTGCGGAGGGAGCGGGAGCCGGGCGCGGCGGCGGCGGGCGGAGGGAGGAAGTGAAGCGTAATTTGAGGAAGATGGATGAGTCCGGAGGGCGACACCCCCAGCCCGCCCGCTCGCCCGCCCCCTCCCTCCTTATGAGAGAGAGGGAGCGCGGCGCCGGAGCCACACTGCGCCGAGCCCGCGCCCCGCCGCCACCTCGGCCCAGGAGCCAGGGAGCGAGCCCTGCGTGTCCGCGCGGGGCGCCCGAGCCGCGGGGCGCAAGGAGGCACCCGGAGGGGAGCGCCCCGGGGCGGCCGCAGCACCGAGCAAGATGCAGCGGGCTGGAGGCGGTGGCGCCCCCGGGGGCAACGGCGGGAGTGGCGGCGGGGGCCCGGGCACTGCCTTCTCCATCGACTCCCTGATCGGGCCGCCGCCGCCGCGCTCCGGCCACTTGCTGTACACGGGCTACCCCATGTTCATGCCCTATCGGCCGCTCGTCCTACCGCAGGCGCTGGCCCCCGCGCCGCTGCCCGCTGGTCTCCCGCCCCTCGCCCCGCTAGCCTCCTTCGCCGGCCGCCTTACCAACACCTTCTGCGCGGGGCTGGGTCAGGCTGTGCCCTCGATGGTGGCGCTGACCACCGCGCTGCCCAGCTTCGCGGAGCCGCCCGACGCTTTCTACGGACCCCCAGAGCTCGCTGCCGCCGCTGCCGCCGCCGCCACTGCCGCCCGAAACAACCCCGAACCAGGCGGCCGACGCCCAGAGGGTGGACTGGAAGCCGATGAGCTGCTGCCGGCCCGCGAGAAAGTGGCAGAGCCCCCACCGCCTCCGCCTCCGCACTTCTCAGAGACTTTTCCAAGTCTGCCCGGTAAGTGCTGGGGCCGACCAGGGCGGGCGGGAGGCCGGTTCACCTGGAAATTCCAGACAGGAACCTGCTCGGAACCTCGGCACCTGCCTGGAACCTGGAAGTCCCATACCTTTAGATCGCGCGCAGGTTCTGACTCTAATTCAGTTCTAAATACAGCCTCTTTAGATCCCAGAATCCCCGCCCTGCTCTGTCCCCACAGCCCTGAAGGCTAACCAAAGACTTTCCAGTGCTCCCTTCACATTAGTGCCTTTCCCTCAGCATCCTAGCCATCAAGCCTTGGCCCTGGCTCGTTTTCAGAATTCCTTCATTTTTTTTTTTTTTTTCTCCTCTGCCAGGGGTAGACAAGCTACAAGGTTGGGATTTCCAGGGGCACCAAGATGGGGGTATGGTGGAGCAGCTGTCAGTTCAGGCACGTTCTGGCTTCTAAGGAGATCATACTGACCCTAAAGGCTCAAAGGATAGGAATAGGCTCTGTGGATGCAGGGGCAAAATGTGGGGGGGGGGGGGACGGGGGTCTTAAAGCCCTGACTTATGAATTGGCGGATTCAGAGCTAAGCCTTGAAGAACTGAGTAGAGGACCAAAGAGAACACTAGCTACGGGAGGCCTAGCACACGCTGGACAAGTGCTGACTAGGAGACCAAGAGAGAGGCTAAAGGCTGGGCTGAGTTGGGTGTGGCCCAAAGATCTAGGGTGCAGAACCCAGCTAAGATTCAGCCGACAGATAATTCAAGGGCCCTGGACCCTCCATGAATGGTGCCTCTCCATAGAGGCAGGGTGTATTAAACTGAACCTTGTTTAGAGTCAATTCAATTAGAGCCCTCCTGACCTCTCTATTGGTCCTTAATTCCTAGAAGCCAGATAAGCTTTCTTCTGGCTAGATAGATTCAGGTGTTCTGAGTTCAAAAGCTTATACAATTTACTGGGCCCTATTTAAGAAAAATAGGGACCACTTGCAAGTGTGGGGACTCTGATGCTTCAACATCTTTAGCATCAGAATGGAACCGTTTCTGCTCAACCATTCATTGCATCCAGCTTAGAGGTGGAAATGACCCCAGTAGGTCTGGGAGCTGACTTGAACAGAGACAAGAAGGGAATGCAAGAGTCCTTTTGTCCTTTGCCAGCAGAGGTAATTCTTGATTATCAGTTTTTGGGCCCTTTCTGACATTGTCCAAAGGGTTAATCACTCTTTCAGACCCCAAGGGCTACCATAGGGCCTGTCTTCCTATTCTTTTCTCCTTTTGCCCTGGCATTTTGCTTTTGGGGATTCAGCTGTTGTTTTCTTTTTTGTACCTGGTTGGATCAGGAAGACCCAGTAACTGAAGTCAGAATAGCATCCTCTAAGGGGGATCATAAGGAAAAGATAGAGCAGCAACTGGAAGGTGGAAAAAAAATGTCCACAAGATAAAAGGGCCCAGGGTGGGAGCCTGGAAGCCAGCATAATGATCTTAAGAAAAAAAAGATTAGTATGATTGTCAGAATAGGATGGTCTTAAGGCAGAAGAGAGAGCAAGGCAGGCCATCAAAGAGATGGCTTTGGAGGAGATAGGGCCTGAGGTGTAACCAGACACATATAGAAAGAGATGAGCTGAAGAGAGAGGATGGAGAGGGGATCCCTTGGTAGTGGGGACATAGGGGAATATGCCCAAACTGGGACAACAAGCAATTCGTCCCACCCTTTCAGGTCTGCTCAGTTCTTATTTCGACCTATATGTATAATGGCGGCTTTTTTCTGGATCATATAGTATATTGGCTATAAAAACAGACATTGAGAAAGAGAGGAATAAGCAGAGAAAAAACAGAAGAGAAATATTGATGAAACAAGAATAGAGGAAAGGACCGGGGGATGAGTTGTATACTGGGAATATACAAAGAGAACATGAAGAAGGAGAGGGTTCTCTGCTGGAAAAGGGACTATGGACTGGGCCAAATGAAAAGTGAACTGTATTACTGGACCACAAGTGTGAGTGAGTGTGTGTGTGTAAGAGTTCTGTCATGAGAGGATTTGGGGGTAATTAAATAAAAATATTAGGGGAATAAGGAAAAGTTTCAACACTAGAAGTAATTTTCTTTAAAGGGTTTTTAATACTGAGAGTGATGGGAAACTGGAACTTATATAAAATGATGACAGAGCTTCAACATCTGAGGAAAATGTTGAAAGAAAAAAAAAAGAGGGAAATTTGTTGTTCGTGGAGTAAAGGCAAGGAATCTTTTTGCCAAGAATGATGGAAAGGAGAACTTAAACAGAGGAAGAATTTTGAAAAAGTGCTGGAATAAAGGTAATCACTCATGCTGGAAGGAGATAAAGGGTTTATATGGGGAGGCTGGGACATAGTAGTAAGGAGGAGAGACTTCAGAAGAAACATTCAAAGAGCATGAGGAATGAGAGTTCCTATCTGTGACTGCTGCTTCTGTCACTCTCAGTAAACATGCTTCCAACTCTTCCTGGCCAAGTCATTCATATCCACCTTCCCAATCTTGAGTTTTTCCTGAAATCATTGAGAAAAGAAAATGCAATTCCGGAAATGAGAGACATAAAATCAATTGGGGGACTGATGACACATGACCCAGGCTAAAAATGGTTGGAAAACAAATACTCTGTTTTGGGAATTGTATTAAAGTATTTGGAGTGAAATGACAGAGCTCTCTGCTGTGAATAATGGGATTGAAACCTCAACATTAGAAGAGTTTGGAGAAATAATGCAATCTTTAGAAAGAGGAGAAATTGTTTTCCTTGTGTGAATGAGTGACAGTGGTCTGAAATGATTATTTTACATTTCTTTAGTGTTTTACAACTACTAGCCCGTTTAAATAAAATCATAGTATAGATAGGCCAGTTTGGAGAATGATTAGTCTTTTCTTTGGGAATTAAAGGGAGTATTTTTTTAAATTTGTTGAGAGTTAAGACAGGTACCATTCTCTACTAGACTTGAGGAAGGATAAAAGGAACTTTGTTATGATTTGATTGCAGGAGTAGAAGCTAAGCTATATTAGCAGATGAAAAGAAATACGATATATAGAAGTAATTGGGTAGAAAGTTATTGAAAATGGTAGATTGAAAAGAATCCCAAGTTTGGAATGTGGGAAGCAGTGGGGAAAATTGAGAGAATGTCTTTAGTAAGAGCGATAAAGAGAATTCTGGACTGTTAGGAAAGATTAAAGTATGACTCAATAGAAGAGCCCAAAGTAGTGCTGGCCATATGCAAGCCATATATGGCATTAAAAAATTTTTATTAGCCACATTAAAAAGATAAAAATAGGTAAAATTAATTTTAATTATTTAACTCAAGATGTCCAAAATATTATTTCAACATTAATCAATATTAATATTTTAATGAGATTTTATATCCTCTTTTCATATTAAGCCTCCAAAATCCAGTGTTATTTTAGACTTCCAGCACATCTCCATTTGGACTACCCATGTTTCAGTTGGTCAGTAGCCACAGGTGAACAGTGGTAACCATATTCAACATGACAGATCTAGAGAGTTTTAAGAACAGAGTTATGTGAAAGTGATGGAAGAAAAGGAGCTTTGAATTGGATAATGGGTCCTCAGTGTTTTAGGAATAATGGAGAGAAGAGAGCAGGAAGCTCTAAATGACAGGAGAGAACAGAATTCTGTCTTAGGTGGGATGGGCAGAGATGATCTCGTGTGTCTGAAGGTTGTGTGAGCTCTGCCTGAGAGTAATCAAAGCTAACTTGCTGTGTGCAAGATGTGGTGCAGATATGCATCACAGCAACAATGGGTAAAAAGGATGCTATGTGCTGGGGAAATGATGAAAAGAGCCGTGAATGTGGAGAAATGCAGAAAGCCAGGCCCAGTGGCTCACGCCTGTAATCCCACCACTTTGGGAGGCCGAGATGAGCAGATCACCTGAGGTTGGGAGTTTGAGACCGGCCTGACCAACATGGAGAAACACTGTCTCTACTAAAAATACAAAATTAGCCGGGCATGGTGGCACATGCCTGTGGTCCCAGCTACTCAGGAGGCTGAGGCAGGAGAATTGCTTGAACCCAGGAGGTGGATGTTGCAGTGAGCCAAGATTGCACCATTGCACTCCAGCCCAGAAGGCAACAAGAGCAAAACTCCGTCTCGGAAAAAAAAAAAAAAAAAAAAAGGCAAAAGAAAACTTTGAGTTGGTGGTGTCTAGAGCTATTATTCACTCAGGGGAAAAAAAAAGATTGGATTGCCTGAATGCAAAAGCTTAGGAAGTGAGGAATGGTAGCTACTCCATATATATTTGTTAGATGGATGACAAAAATGTAGTGAGAGATTGACATGAAAATTAATACCAGTACTGGGCATGGTGAAGAAAACATTTGTAGTTTAAGGTTATATAGAAGATATGGGAATATAATGGGACAAACTTGAGACATGTTGATGTAGTAAACATTGTTTTTTTAAACTAAGCATAAAAAGGTTTGCTAATTTCTGAATAGAGGTTGGCAATAATAATTGAAATCATACAAGGAGACCAGGGAGACTTCGTAGGAGCCTAGTATTCAAGTGCTGATTACTGTAAGCTAAGCACCTGATGGTAGCTAGGGAACATTTGGATGACCATCAATTAATTTCTGAATAGGTATCCACTATGATTGTCAAGATATGGTATTTACTTATGAGAGGAAAACAGAAAATGATAGTATGACGTGGAATTAGATAATTATGTTGTTGGAAACAAGAGGGAGATTTTTGGGGGAAGTGATGGAGATCCGGAGTATGTTTTCCTAGAACTTTTGAGCATACAGTGAGAGTGATTGCTACATTGACACTTATAGAAAGGCAAATACTGCATTAACTTAATGTGATTGATGGAACATTTGTTTAGGAGTTGTGACACATGGGTTCAGTTCTCACCTTTGTCACTCATTAGTTGTATAATTTCGACAAGTCACTTAGTTCAATTCAGGGAACATTTATTGTGTGTCTATTACAGACTTGGTATATTTGAGACATAGTGGGAGATTCAAAGTCATGTGACTTCTCTAGGCTTTGGTTTCCT